CTTTCTGTGGTAGTTTGAAGGGGCTATCAAAATAACCACGACTGCTTTCAAGCATAGTCCGGTTGTGGGTTTCTCACAGTTTTTTTTTTTAAATTTTTGCATGTCGCCTTCACAAAATGGTTGATTTCAGCTGCCACTTGTGTCCAGAGAAGTTTTTGACTGTTACGGCATTGATAATCTTTCAATGCCGTAACAGTCAAAAACTTCTCTCGACACAACGTTTGATTTATCAATGTCGTTTCCCTTAAATTCTTTCCACAGTTTAAAAAGCTTTCGCCTGTCGATTTCAACTGAAATTTTATTTGATAACATATAATTTAAACTATTTTTGAAATTGTCACAAACAAATAACTTCCATTGATAACTCATTTATACCATGAATTGGAAATTAACACTGAATACCTTATTAACTACATGGTTGTACTTACCTTCATTGTTGAAAGACATGCTTTTCTCACTTTTGGGATCTGCTACGGAAATGTTGAAAAAATAACCTTCACATTTTCTAAGTAATATGCGTTTTATGCTGCAAAACCGATCAATGTGTGACCAAACTTTGTTATATTATCACTGAGCCTACTTTGATTCAGTATTTGACAAATGCGCGCTGACACTGAACTACAGAACGACCTTTTAAAAATACAAAACAATCAACGAGGATACTAAAAGGGACAAATGTTTCAATGGAATTTGAGATCACTTTTGAACAAGCTTTCATCCTATTCAAGATTCACCTGCCGGATTTTGCCGGATTTTTGTCTGTGAGGGCACAAAATATGTAAATTTTTTTACTAAATTTGTGAATAACTCAGTCTGTGTAATCGATACCTTTTGGACGTCTTGAACAAAGTTTTATATTGTGATAAAATATATATATTTGTGGAACATTATAGTCTTCTAAAACCTATAGTTTTTTTAATATGTTATAAAAAGTGAAAAAAATTAAATTTTGTTGAACAGTCATATTAAACGCTACGTATCTCAAAAACTAAGGAATATAGAGGATTTGTGTGTTCAGCAAAGATTTTTGTAGTAAAATTATCTACAACTTTGCTGAAAACATCACATACCTATCTTGTAAATGTAAAAAGTTAGATTTTTCAGCGCCGCCTGTGGTGAAGTTCCGAACTAAAACCTATCACTAGTCTTTGCGCCTTATTTTATGCAAAAACTCTTTTAAAGACATCATAGTGAAAAAACCAACATTGAAGGCGCAAATAAAAAAGTTCGTGATATTGAGCATTCAAACCACTGTGCACCGGCGCCGGCAACGGTTGATCTTTAATTCTCCCTTTCCATGCCATGATGAGCTGTGTAACTGGCGTACAATATTGACTTAACAGTAGATTCAATTAGGAATTGTCGCTCATTGGAAATTATAAACCCCGTTCACGTGGTTTTCCCTTTTACCTTTAACTTCACCTTCAACTGAAAAGCTAATCCATTGCATTACCATTACCCCTTGTTTGGATAATCATCGGAAAGAGAACTAACCTTGCCGGACATTCTTCACCGTGATTTAATCCGAGGATAATACCGGCTGGAGTTTAACACCTCCTCAACAACTTTGCCGAAGACTGCCATTTTCTAAACAAACAGGATCTGAATTTGAAATTGCTTGGAAGCTTATTACTGATGAAAATATTATTATGTGTACGCAAACACCACACAGTGTGAGATTTGCAAACTACCATATCCACCACCATGTAAAGCTTTGTACCTCTCACTAAAATCACAAATTCAAATCTCATCCCCGTACAAGTCACGAATGACTCAAGAGTGTTAAAGTGACTTTAATAAAAAAAAATCCTGAATTAATGCACCTATGGTGAGATCTGACCCTTCTTACTGATATAAATAACGACATAAGTGCTCATATGATGTGTGGTGATAGATGAATTCTCATGTGATTTGAGTTTTCGCATAATGGATTATGACCCAAGTCAGGAATTGGCTCCCTGTCCGATGATACCCGGAGCAAATCCGGATTTAGCCAGTGTGGACTTGGTTTTGGAATTCTCATGTGATTTGAGGTTTCGCATAATGGATTTTGATTCTAATCAGAAACTGGCCACTTCCCCTTTGGTTCCCAGAACATTTCCGGATGTGACCAACGTGGTGCTGAGCACTCCAAATGACTACCATTGAACTGGTTTTTGAATTCTCATGTCATTTTATGCGTCATTTTATTAGTTTCAGGTCGGATTTAGTCTAATAGCCCATACAAACCGGATCAAGCTCCGGCCATATCTCCGGAACCAGTTGACCGATTCCAAAAATTCCCGATTCAATAATAACCGGTGATTTTTTTTAGCTGCGCAAATCAAATATGCTCCCGAAAAAAATTACTTTCAATAGAAAAAAAAAGAAAATGCGCCAGATGCTGCGACTGCAGTGGACTGGGCACGTCGTCGGGCGACAGCCCGGTGAAAATGGTTCTCGATAACGAACCGAGTGGAACGTCACGAAGAGGTGCGTAGCGGGCAAGGTGGAAGGCGACCTGCGAAGCTTCACTCGCAGACTGCGAAGCTGGCGACGTGCAGCCATAGATCGAATTGAATGGAGACGACTTCTGTTACAGTCACAGCCTGATTGAATGATTGGCTAATTTATCCTTTTATAATATGTGGAATATTGTTATCCCGTATGTCATGCACCTAATCTTACATATGGAAATCCTATATGCCATAATAGGAACGTTTTTTTTTTTTTTTTTTTTTTTTTTGTGCAGGGGGGAATCTGCTTACAGACACCTGAGAAGGAACTCAGGGTGTGGGGATGGGAGAATTTCACTCCCGACCCACTCAACCTTACCCTGTGCGCTTGGCCCTTGACCTCCCCGGAACCGCCCGAAGGCATTACTTCGTGGGAGGGGCCGCTGTAGCGCTATGGCGCCTCTCTAGCAATACTCTATCGATCTAGTCGAGCAGTAGGCAACTGCTGCTCGGCACGCCACTGTCGTTGTAATTCCGAAACTATGTGGGTGACCGCAGTCACCACCGCGCTCCAATTCTCGGTGGTACCACACATCCTATGAACGATGTTATCCGGACTGGTATCCGCTCCGCATATCGCTAGCATAGCGCTCGATACTGGCTCGAAACGTGGACAGGTGTTCGGCGGTCTCCTCGACACCAGCACATATGGGGCAGATGGGAGTACTTGTATGCAGGGTTACTTCCACTCACTTGCTATAAAAAAATGTTTTTCAGAATTATGAAATCAAAAGATGGTATAGTGATAATTAGAACTTGCAACTACAAGAAGAGGTCGTGAAGTATGTGTTTGACACACAAAATCTGTCAATATTGCTTTCAGTGCGCCACAATCAGCAATTTTACGATTCGTGAGCGCTCACTCTGAGTGAACGCTCACGAATCATAAGATCGCTTATTATGACGCTCTGAAAGCGTCAAACACATACTTTACACCCTCTTCTCAATACTTACAAGTACAACATATAATTATATCATCTAATGATTGCATAATTCCAAAAAATATGTTTTTATAGCAAGTGAGTGGAAGCAACCCTGCTTGCATGTCCGAACCTATGCAGGTAGCTCCTAAAGCAGCCATGGCCTGACAGGAACTGTGTCAGGTGGAAGTTTACTTCCCCATGGCGCCTGTTGACCCAGCTTGATACGGAAGGTATCAAGCGGTAAGTCCACCTCCCCTTTGTGGAGTTTTCCCACTCCGATTGCCATCTCGCGGTCGACACAACTCGCGCGTTGTTGCGCACCCCTCGAACGGTCCTCGCGTCATAGCACTCCGCATCCTCCTTAATGATAAGGGTGATTGGCATCATCCCTGCTATGACACAGACGGCCTCTCTCGAGATAGTGCGGTAAGCACTGGCCACCCTTAAGCACATTAGCTTGTGTATACTCTCTAATTTCTGCCTGTGGCAGTCAATATCCTGAGGATAGATACTACGACCCCAGCGAGGAGCCTGCGCTTACTGGCATTCACTGCCGAGCTGTTTGACATCATACGGGATAATGTCCCCACAGCCATAGACGCTCTCTTGCAGGCGTACTCGACGTGGCAGTCGAAGCTGAGCTTATCGTCGAGCATAACCCCCAAGAGTTTTAGAGAGCGCACAGACCTAATTGTGCTTCCGCCGACTGTCAACGTCGCATGCTGTACTGACATGCGATTGTTGACTACGACCACTTCCGTCTTGTGATGGGCGAGCTCCAGTTTCCTGGTTCTCATCCATTCCTCCACAAGCCTGACGCAGTGTGCCGCTGTCAGCTCTACCTCCTCGAGGGATTCCCCGCAGACTACCAGCGTGACAGCGTCGGCAAAACCTACAATTTTCACGCCTACCGGGAATTTTATCCTCAACAGTCCATCGTACATGACGTTCCATAACACCGGGCCCAGGATGGAGCCTTGTGGCACACCTGCGGTGACTCTAACGCATTTTTCGCCATCTTCTGTGTCGTACGTCAACACACGATTCTGGAAGTAGCTTTCCAGAATCTTATACAGCCCTCCGGGAATTTGGAGCTGGTGTAGCGAGCGGGATATCGCCCCCCAGCACGCGCTGTTGAACGCGTTCTTCACGTCTAAGGTTAGCACCGCGCAGTAGCGAATGCCCCTTCGTTTCCGATGGACCACCTCTGCCGTCTGGATGGCGTCCACCGTGGATCTGCCCTTACGGAACCCGTACTGGCTGCTTGACAGGCCGTCTACACCTTCGGTGTAGGCCGACAGCCTGTTGAGGATGACCCTCTCAAGCAGTTTCCCAGTGGTGTCCAGCAAACAGATGGGTCTGTATGCTGACGGGTCCCCAGGGGGTTTTCCTGGCTTCGGAAGCAGCACCAGCTTCTGCCGCTTCCACGCATCTGGGAAGACGCCTACGTATGGAACGTAGGAACGTATGACCATGACTGGTCGACCTACCCTATGCTATACCAATTAGTCACATATATTTACATACCACCACATCCGACCAGTGTTTATCAACGTATATTTTTCTTATTTTATTTTTACAGGAAACTTACCCCTCCACACCACCAGTATGGTTTGCCGAAAGTGAGGAAACCAGTATAACGAACGCTGTACAAATTCTCACAAACACCCGTGGCCACGATAATCATGTAATAAATCAGGTAAGTAAAGTAGAGAAAGGAATACTCCCATTATCTACATATTCTACAACCACTTGCCCTACATATACATGTTCCAATGCGACTATGTAGTACACTGCTCCCCACCTGTGATTGAGGAATACTACGGTGTTCAGTGTTTACGTTTAGCACAGTATATACTTGTTTGTTGCATTGATTCTTGCATTCTATTGCTTATAAAATTGCAACTCTTTGTAGCTTTAAGCTTCTTCACCTCAAGTGAACGTTTTGTGATAGTGGATTTGTCGCAGACAACTCTCTATTCTGCACTGCAACATTGAGCCTTTCTTGCCATGGTTGTTTCTTCGCGCATCTGTGCGCATCTGTCTGGAACGCTTGGTAATAGTCGGTCATAACAATAAAAGTTATTACATTATAGGTATCTAGCGGTATTTGCCTTCACCCCATCAACGATACTCGTGGTGAGGGAGAAACTGATTACTCAATACTGCGTGTACTGGATGGAGTTTGATGCCAGTAATTACAGTTAATTTAATCAGGTGGATGGATAGTGAATATGTTGGATGCTATAATTTTTGAGCGGAGTTGAAAAATTGAAACACTCTGGAGAATAGAGGGATAACTATTCTAACTTTCGTTGTAACTTAAACTCAATTATCAATGTCAAACACCCACTTCCCTATTCCATTCCACTTTGCTGTACTCAATTTCAGTTTGTTCATGTTTTTTGGTCAGAACATCCACTGGTTAGAATTCCTAAGGCTGTCATGGACAGTTTTATTTGGAATTCAAAGGAATGCCAGAGAGAACCATAAGATTATTCTGGGGAATCCTGAAAGGAAGGCATTTTGGAATGATTCTAAGGAAACATATTGATAAAATTCCACACAAATCCTATGAAGAGTTATCAAATCTAGAAATTATCTACATAGGGTAAATGACGGTTTCGGCATTCATTAACTGTTTTCAGCAACCAAAGTTTAAACGGTAATTTCACAGCATTTTCCCACGAAAACACTTCGCTGAATCTGATTAGATTTTTACGATTGAGCAAACGAATTTTACTCAGATTTTCTTGAAATGAAACATACGCACTACAAAATGCGGCTGATATCGAGTTGCTGATAATAGAACAGCAGGTTAACAAGCAGTTCAAATGGGAAGGATGCCTAAAACAATAGGTTGATGACAATAGTCACACTCACAAGAGTAGTTTGGAACGTTGTAAAAACGTTTTAAAACAGTTTTAGGTAATTCTGTCGATTGAAATGGATAGAGCAGCAAGCAGTAAACAAATGTAAGATACAAACACGTCAAACGCTGAGAAAATTATATTAGAAGCACCGGACGCTGCATGGACTGATGAGAATACGTAAATTTTCCTACTTCTAAGATTTAATAATGATTAATAATTCCAACAAGAATTTATGTTTCATTTCAGTTCAATATTTTGACACATGGGTAACAAATTTTCATTTGGGCGTTGATGATGATTTTGAACCCCATTGAATAGTTCCAGCCAGTGTCTGTTTTTCTCATTTACCCTCACACGCACTGACAATCGCTTCTACCCAGTGTAGATGAATTGCGATTGTTTTGAAAATCTGTTGTCAAATGAGTTCATTATCCATCGATGAATACGCATTTGTTAATATTCATCAACGCTTGAGTTTCCAACCCAAAATTGTCAAAATCTAAACCTATCTATCCTCAAAAGTAAAAAAACAAAATCAAATTCATTGAATAATTTTCGATTGCTGCGCCTAAAACCTCGAAATTATCATCCATTCTGCAAAAGGCAATATTCTTCCATAGATCTGAGTGAAAAAACAACATAAAACGTTCCACAACGGTATATTTGAGTAAAACGAAAATAATCATTTCGCATTTGATATGACAACAGAACAAGCGATAATGAATACGCATCTTTGAATGAACTAAAACAATTGTTGACTTCGAAACTCAGCGGCTGCCTTGATCAAAAGCGTTAAATCATGTCAAAATTCAAATTCATGCAGATAGGTTACCTTCATTTACAGCTTATTTGAGTGTAGAAGAAATTATGTTTATCAGCACTGGTTCCAGTACACTAAAAGTGATAATAATTTGGATTTTGACTACAATTTTTAACTTAGATGACGAACATGTGATTACCTCTGAATTAAGGCTACGAAAAGAATCTCTCCTTCATAAGTTTATTATATTTATGTCAGTGTTTTGTCCGTCGGAAGCATATGGTCATAAAAGATCGGTCAATCACTTTGGCAGCAATATGTTTATTTTATATGATTAATTAAGTATTGCTACAGATATCATCACAGATTTTTTTTAAAAATATAGATGAATAAAGTTTTATACTTAACCTTCGTTTTGTTTTTGTAAGTACTCATTACAGATACAATATTTCAAAACTATTAGTGTTGGTTGGTTTTCTTTATTAAATTAGGATTAGTTATTATGATCATATTTTTATTGGAATATGCAAGAAAATGCTGCAAAATATGTGTTTGATACTTAAAACCTGTAAATTTCACTTCCTGAGAAGTCAGCAATTTTACCAATTTTCACTCACTCACTTACTCAACGCTGATTGTGATTATTAGAAATCAAAATTGACAGGTTTTGTTCGTCATCATCTTCTTGTAACATACACGTAAAGCATGCGATCATAACTACACCTGTGCGCCGCCACCGGCACTTTTGATTTTTGATACACCGACAACGTAGTTTTTTAATTCCGGAAGACGTGTTTCTCGCCAATCATTGCACCATTGGACCAAGTTTCAAAAATAATACACAAAAAAAACATTATTTCTTTACCGGATTTTTAGAATCGGTCAACTGTTTCCGTAAGTACCGGAGTTTCAAGCACGTCCAGTCTATGCTCATGGAAGTCGATAAAATGTCAATCCAATAAGATTGTCTAGACCGGGCTGTTAATCGAACCCACCGCCTTCGGTTTGGTGATACCGCCATAACTGACTAGGTTATTTAATCCGTGACATTTATAATTACTGAAAAAAAACTACCTAAGGAAATAGTTCCGATACTGCTAGTTTTTGCACCTTGTTGCTGGTGGGCGGGCTTAATTTTATGCTTTATAGTGGAGTGTTGGAGACGGTAGGTTTATGGCTGGCGTTGCTGGCAGGCGATGGGGATTACTAAGCTTCCCCTCTCTGATGAACCACTGCATGAGAATACCAAAGATCTAGTCCAGCAGTGATGGTATCACACTTGTTACTCCTTTGTTTAAGAGCCGCGTTGTAGTACGCTTACTTATAGGCACTGACCTTGGGTGCGATACTGGCGGGTTTTTCCGCAAATCACTCTTATTTTAATTATGTTTACGCAGATAGATGTATTTGGGTTTGCAAGGGAATTATACTATTGAAATATTTCAAAAAGTGCCCAACAGTGCTCCTTCTATTTGCGTGACAAGCTTTCATTGTTGTTTTCATTGAGGTATTACTCAGGGAACAATGTTAAACACCATTTATGTACATGGTATTGTAACTAATCTTATATGTGCTTCATTTTGATTTGGGATAAGTGTTTGTACTATGGCTCGGGATTTCCACTGTGGCGTGCTTCTATTGTTACATACTCACTCATACGTATTTTTGTGGTGCGACATAGTGGAAGCGTGTGAGCATAGTTGGAGCATATACCCTATATAATTTAAAAATCAGCTAGGAAACTAACTTCAAAATGAAGCATTTTAGTCACTTGAAGGTGTCACCTGGGTCGAACTAAGATATAATAAATAGGTATAGGTCAAAATCAAAAGTAGGATAGAGAACTACTTCGGCCTAATCGCCCATTTTGGGCCTATCGAGCAGAAAACTTCAAATAAATCCATGATTTCAGAGTTAACAAGTCAATTATGCGTTTGGTACGATACTTCAGTTAATAAGCTACCGAACGAAGTCAATGAAAACGCGTCATATGAAGGTTTGCACCCATTATTCCCAAAAACAAAAGAAGCGCTCGGACCGAATCAATTTTTATCTTCATCCGATAGGCCGAAGTGAATTCATTGTCGTTTCAATGGCGTTTCAATGCGTTAGGCCGAGTTTGGCGTCAAGAAGCAGTGTTAGACTTTTGAAAATATCTCAACGATTGGTTTCTCTTTATCAAATCTTACGGTCTAATAACATTGAGTAGATTAACAAAAGAATTAGGACGCGGGGGTCCGCTTAGGGAGGCAAGTTGTAGAATGAATCTTCCTATTTAGCTCAATAAGAAAACGCAAGCAGACCAATAGCATTACTCAGCTTAACAAGGAGAGGAAAGTAAAATTAAAGGGTATGTGACAATTAATAACTTTTAATTTTTTGTAGGTATTGTTTTCCCCTGAGTTTATTGTACTCGATAACTATATTATTCTCTCAATACGCGAAATCTCGGATATATGCGGTTAAAGCATTTGAGTTAACTTATTTCGTAGTGTTCAAGTACTTAATTTGTAAACAGCAGTCAATGCTAATCTATGTACTAAACCCTACGTGACTGTAAAATCGATCTTTCCTTATGTGGTATTGAGGCATGTTTAACTTTTCGCGGTTGTCGGATTCAACGCGCCTACGTCTACGGAGCTTACGCAGAAGTGATTCGCAATGCGGTAGAGCTTGCCAAAAGTTTTTTTTAGCTTATGTAGTTTAGAATTTGTTCGGTACGGTCTCGAAATCTTGAAATGATTGATACGTCCGCTAAATTAACTAATTTGATACAAAACTCAGTAGTAAATAAGTAGAATATCTAAGAAGGAAACAAAAATTAATCAACTTGCCAACATAGGCTATTACATTTATTTTGGTGTCACTCTTTAAATGATAATAAGCCTTTTTTTTCGCGCTTCGGTTGTCTCGCACGGCTTTCGGCATACGCGCGGTTTTCGTAATCTACATATTTTAGATATTTCGTTCGAAACGGATCTACTTATTCAATCGGTTTACTACGCGGATGTATCTACGCGCACACGTCACAGCATTTTCTCCATAACTATCTTGAAACAATACACACGGAATCCAGTGTTCAAGCTGCCAACATTGGCTAGTCCTTCTGCTGTATTGTCAAAGATAGAAGCAAAATTTATTCAAATGGGTCAAGTCTTGAAAACTAAGTTGTCACGCAGCTCCAGCTTAATACCCATAACAAAAAAAGATTCTGACATTTTTACGTTTACGATCATATTTTTTTTTTGTTCTAATTGTAAAATCAACTAATTTTATCGGTAAAAATTGATCAACTGGAAAACAGTCTAAAAAAAAACCTTTGCATGTTATTTATTTCCAAAATCAGGATCAAAAATCTTAGTTTTCAAAATAAAAATTTGTAATGGTTCAGGATATTGTTGCTTATATTCAAGCTCTTCTGATCTTCTGATTTTTTCAAATTCAAAATTTTAAATTTTTGTTTGAGTCACCTTTCTTCAGGTGTAGAACCTTGAAGTTTTTTTTCGAAATCTAGAGTTTTTTTAGTTTTTGTTTGATTTCCAAACTCTGTTATATTTGTCTTAATATTGATTTTGTTTTATACCTCTGCATCTGGAAAAATTATGCCATTTCCATAATATAGCATTTTTTTCTAAGATCTTGCATGTTTTCCTAAATTCTGGATATTTAGGACCTTGAACATTCCAGGATCGTATGAACTATGCCTAAAACGTCAGATCAATACTTCTTATTTCTCGAATCTCGAAAGTTGTTTATGTCAAGTGAAGTATATTACAATTATTTCAGGTACCGTAAAACTGGGTATCTTTGATAATGCGGATAACTTTGATAGTAGAATATATGTAGATAGAGCTGGAATTAGGGCGTAACAGCCTTTGTAAACATTGACTTCCAGGGTGTCCATCCAACCGGGAAATCCGGGAAAAACCGAGAATTTTGATTTGCCGGGAAAAAATGCGGGAAAACCCAAATCGCACCGGGAAAGATAATTTATACTCATCCTAAGTTACAATTTTGGTTTTATCATAGTCTTGTAGGCCATACATTTTTGGTCTTCAAGAATCATTTTAACCCTTATAAAGCTTGCAATTTTACCCGGAATTAATAATTATTATTTTTAATATACATGAATATATTCATTTGTTTACACTTCTGTCTACAATTTTCATACTATGCTTTCACTCTGGTAAAGTATCAAAGTTCCTCAAAATTACAAAACAAATCTATTCTTTTCTTTCACTTGTTGCAGCAGGTAGAGCTACCAAGAAAGCTTACAGAGTATTTTTTTTAGATGAACATTTTTTTAATTATTTTGCTACAGTTTTCCGAGTAAAGTAGTGTTAATATAAAGCCTAACCGATACATATCTTGTCACGAAGCTACTTGAAGATAGAAAAACAAATTCATGCCAATTAAAAAAAAACTCCTTGCATACCCGATCATGCTTGGCCTGCAAGTGTTCGACACCGTACACAATCAACGAACTTAAAAAAATCATGAGATGATTGGATAAATTAAAAATAATTTCTGCACTTTGTGCTAATCAGGCACACAAGATTAGTCAGGAATACCTTGATTAGCCTGTAAAATATAAAGATCTGAATCCATACCTCTCACGCTGAAGTAAATGTACTTGATTATCTTATAGATAAATCATCCAGCTCAAACCTAGGGGTAATCATCATTATCATGAACTTAAATCTAACCGGGATAAGTCACGAATAATCCATGAGTGTTAAAGTTACTATTAGATATAGTATAATATATATATAACATCATGTATAATAATATAATATATAATAATATAATATGCATATAATATCTTGTATAATAATATAATATATAAATTAATAAAAAAGAATATCTTAACTCCAGGAATTTTGAAAAACCTAATATTTCAAACCACACAAGCAACATTTCCGATTTCAATGTGGTCTTTAAGTCAATTCTAAACCTATAAGGCCTCTTCAAAACCATGATAAAACCAAAATTGTTACTTGGGCAATTATATTATGGGGCTTCCCGAAGGTTTACCCATTCTATCATTAAGTCGAATCATCGTGTTGATAATCATAAATTATATTTCGAACGGAGATTCAAAATGCTCAAAAGTGGAAATCGAACAAGATATGTATTAACCTGTAAAATATCTCCAATACAATTTAAATATTTTGGTAACACATCATTGCTCCCACAAAATGTTTTTTATATGCCTAAAAATGTCAAGATCTAAACTCCTGGAAGATTTTAAGTGTTTTAATACTGCGTGATTTATCCTTTTTTCAACATACCAAATCAACATTTCGGCTAAATTTTTGCAGGAGACCCTTTGATTTTATACGAATTCATGCTTCCATGAGATTTTGGAGATCTAGATCAACAACATATCAACACAACAGCAAATCTTATCTCATATTTTTCTGCAAAATTGACGTATTGTAGAGCAATTCTGCTGAAAAAATATGATTATCTATAAACAGTTATTTTTGAACGCTTTTTTAGTTTAAGGCAGCGGTGATTTTTTAGTTTTTTTTTAATTACCGGGAAAAACCGGGAATTTGAAAATTAGATTTGAATGGACACCCTGGACTTCTCTTGTTGATTTCTCCGGAAATCAAGGCACGCCTACACAAACCAACATATCCATCGGGTAGGAGAAGTCTTCTTCTACTCGATGGTGATGTCGATTTGCCAGGGAGAGCCATGACTTCCGAGAAATCATCGAGAGAATTCATTGTTTACAAAAGCTGTTACGCCCTAATTCCAGTCATCACGAATTCAATATTGTTTTCTTATTGCGTATGATGTTTTTGATTATATACTCATTCAAAGTATCTTATTTCTTGATCAAAATTCAAGCTGAACAATGCATTAGGTCCTAAGTAACATTGATCAATTCTCTTCATCGACTTTCTCTTTCGTTAATAGCTTGCGTACAGAACCGTTTCTTATCCTGTTTGTCGTATTAGAATCTAGATAATAGCTTCTTTCATCGATCTGTGTGCTGAAAATAGCTGAAAATGTCATAACACGGCCGTGAGGATGCAAAGAGAAAGTCGACTAAGAGAATCTGTAAATGTTATTTAGGACCTATTGCTTTGTTCAGCTTGAATTGTTTGGTTTTCAAAGTAACCCCAAAACAAACAAAAAACTGATGTTCTGTCACAGACAAAAAAAATTGTACAAATGCAATAATTCCCGTTAAACATATTACTCACGAATTGACTCTAGGATCCACAGAACTTGTTTAAAAATAAAATAAAATTTGAATAGCATTCATTGTTGTAAAACATATTTTGAATACACTTAAAAAAAAACTATCAAAGCTACCCCGTTTTACGGTACCATAAAAAAGTTCGCAATCTTGGAAAAATATCACATTTGTCCATGTCCACGAATTAAAAAACCAACCTTTTCAATTTTTGAGCCATCCTTTTTTCAATTTTTGGTCAAAAGTGACCAAGTAACCTCAAATAACTTTTTAGCCACTTTTTTAAACTATTTGGTCACTAAAGTCAATACCAGCCCTGAGTGAAATTGGTCAAAAATATACTACGCCATTTATGGATGGTTCCTAATTCCTCTTTGACGTAAATCGTAAAACGTAAACAACATGCCATGTAAAATTAAGTGTTCCGAAACCAAAACATATGTAACTAGACGAAAAGTGCAATCGCTGGAATTTAATTTCTCGTTTCTTACAACTGAATTCAACTCAATGCACCGAAATTTACATGACTTTATCGTAGATGAAAACATGGATTTAAGAAATATGCCATGCGTATTTTAGAGATTCTGGACATAGGAAAAAAAAAAAAATAGAATCCCAAACATTGAACGTTTTGGAAAAATTATAGAAGATTTCTCGTTCTTTGAACAATTAGCAGTTTTTCGAGATCATCGTCATCAAATATCGCGTGTTAATTATGCAACATCAACACGTAAATTGCGCAAGCAGCTCTGAATCAGAATTCACTCAAAAAATTCCGTACATTTTTATTGGCGAATTTCCATGTAAAATTCCACATAATTTTCATGTGACCCACACATAACCAAAATCCACTCAGAAAAGTACACATGCAATTTGTGTGGTCACATAATAACAATCTTTGAATTTTTCTTAGTGTAGTGAAATTTTCATCCAAAATGAAAATATTGGATTTCAAAGTACACCAGTTCTCATCCAATTCAAAGGAAAAACAGTTAACCGCAAGTAACCTTCATCCTTTATCTCCTCATTACAGGTCGATATACTATTACGCGAACTCTGCCGGCTACACACAGTTCCGCTACCTCCCGATCTGGACAACCTCGCGATACCGTTCCAACCCTACGCACCTGGCACTCCCTCACCATACCAGGCCGCGCACCAGGCGGTTCACCACCTGCATCATCAGCAACAACAGCAGCAGCAACAGCAGCAACAACAACAACAACAGATCGACGAGATCGATTCCGACTGTGATGACATCGAGGATGATGTGGCGGAAGAAAGCGACCAGGACAGCGAAGCGGAAGAGGATCTTCCCCTCGAAATGGATGACGGACGAAATGCTGCCAAGGTGAGACAGTGCATATTTTATCCTGATGGGAAACGAAAAGAGCGCATTCTGTTTGGGTGGGGAGAATCGACACACTTTTGCCGTCTTATCATATGACCTATTTCGCTGGGTCGCTTTCGTACGCTGACTTGGCTGACTTGGTGGCTGGGTATGGCATCATCACCTGTTCGTTTGACTTGTGTTGGTTGAAGGCCAATGCAAAAGCTGCTCCCCACTGCCAGTACCAGCTCATAAATAAAACAGTAGTCGGTAGCAATAATTATTACAAAGCTTCTGGTTACTACGTAAATGTAGCTTTTCGTCTTGGTAAATGTAGAGAATTGAAATTCGCAAATTTTGTATGCAGCCTTATGGTGGCAGTATGCTGATGTGGTCATAGGCGTGCACCATTTTAAATGTCACTATGCTTTGTGACTTTAAAAAGAGTTTGTAAGTGTATTTTGATCAATATGTTGAATCACAAAAGCAAGTTCAGTACAAAGTAAAACTTCTGCACTGTATGACATGTTTACTTTTCGTTTGAATGAATCATATTGCACCCGCACAGCTCGCCCAACAATCTATCCCCATTCGATGATGGTGTGAAGAAGCCCGACGAGGACGTTGGTACATAAAGTTGGTTGGCATGTCCCTTCTGGCACTAAACGCGGTCATTATTTTTTTTACATTCAAATCCAACATTGCTTCCCTTCGTTCGTAAAGTTTCCTACCTAGCTGATTCTGTTGTTTATTTTGGTTGTTCTTGTTGTTGTTGTAGACGTTGCCTCTATGTCACATGGTTATTGTTGAGGTTGTTTTTTTTTGTACACTGCGGAGGGTCATTTTGTCGTGGTTCTTAAAAGAATGCTACGTAGCATGAAGCTTGATGTACGATGAATCAATTGCTATTGCAGTGGCGACATTTTAGTTTTGGCTTCTCTTGAATGGAGAGGGGGTGCCAGTTATTCGTAACCGTTTGCATCGTGGTGTACACAACTGTCGGTAGAAAATTGATTTTACAAACAAATGATATATCTAGGATTGACAAAATTATCATTGGACTAATTTCTTAAAAAAATATGGATGATTTAAAAACATGCTGCTATGCCTTGAAATTTCTAATAAGGCCGCATTCCCGCTATGTAGACAATCGTCCCTACACATGTTGCAAAATTTGCATGCTTCGAAGACACTCAACATGAAAATTTATCTGGTCCTTGTAAAGCCATTGGAAGTCTTAGAAATTACACTTCTTGTTTTTTTTTAAATTTAATTCAATTGATTTTGAGTTGTTTTAGTGGTGCAAGTATGCGTCCATTATTCAAGTGGGACAAATCGACTATTTTTTGTGTGTTTCGTTACATGGGACAGTTATGCGTCCACCGCGATTGCGACAATCTTAGCATACCGTTGATCGGGACTAGACAATTACATTTATCTGCGGGGCAATCTATTCTACCCTGTTGTTGCGAATAGGTTGTCGTCCCAAGAGAAAAAAGGAACGTCACCATAACAGCAGCTCAAAGCCCAAGTAATCAAAAAGTTCGAATCTAAAAATTCCTAACGTTTATTCCGGCCCGGCAACTGGGAAAACCGAGAACCAACCGGAAACAACCGTGAATTTTATTGCAGTCTCAAAATATGTTTGTATATTTTTATCGAATTCTGTATTTTTCAGAGGATTGTTTATCGACTTAATTTTCCTTAGTTCAAGGTAGTGAAAAAATGTACCGTAAAAAGGGGTATCTTTGATAATGTGGGTAGCTTTGATAGTAGAATATAATGATTTAATGTACTCTATGTCTTTTTTTCCGAATTAGAAACATTGGTTTCATATTGTAGCTTACGGCATTTCCCTCGATATCGTGTATAGTTTTTATATAGTAAGCACTCAAACCCTCAGTTATGAAATGTATTTCCGATAAAGCCACCACAAATTCAATGTTGTGTTTTTATTGCTTATGATGTTTTCTGATTATAAACTTATTCAAAGTTTCATATTTCTTGAACTAAATGGTTTGAGTTTCCCACATGATTTTCAATATTCATCGAGCATTATCAAAGTAACCCCAAATCAAAATATTGATGTTCGGTCACAAGACTAAAAAAATATGGTGAATGCAATAATTTGCTTTTGATAAGTTTTCATAGATCGGAATCTTTTTTTTATAAGCCTAAGAATTTAAAAAATACCAAATATCTCTGCCCCCGGGGTCTTGAATCATCCCAAAATGTCTTCAGAGTTGCTTTCAGGATTTCATAGAATCATCGTACAATTCCTTCTGGAATTCTCTTGAAATCTTCATCCTTAAAAATTCCCTACATACCTCCTTAGGAATATCATCTAGGGAATTTTTAGAATTTACTCTTGATTCGAATCGTGAAAAAATTAATCGTGGTTCGACCTAATAAAAAAAAAGGAATTTGCTCCCAGCGACTTCGGAAAGATGCAGTTCTAAGTACTTCACATGAACAGCAGCTGGTCGATTGGATTCTTCTATGTCTGCGTCCTGATGTCCCAAAATCATAAATACTTGAAGCAGCTTCCGAACTCGCATCCCTACTTTCAAAAGAGGAATACCATCGACAGAATTTCTGAACAAGTTTTTACGAAGACATCCTGGAATCTCGAAGCTGACACCAGAAGAACTTGCAAGAGCATCCGCGGGGTTGACCGCTGACTGACTTGAGTGATATATTGAATTCCTTTATAACCAGTTCGAGCAAGGGCAAATGTTGTATCTATTGAACCACCATAACGCTGAAGGTGGACGAAACCAACTTTGTTATGAATTCAATGCCAAAGAAAGTTTACGCACGAAAAGGGGTGAAGGTTGTATACGAGCGTGGCAAGCCACAAGAAACCATCACTTGTACGTATGTTCCTCTTGTGTAAAACTCATGATTCCCAAAAAACAGATTAACGCAATTCAAGATATTTTTACAATTGAATTTCTGATGAAAAGTTGTGGTTTTTCATATATTTTTGAATTTTTGGACCACCCTAATGAAGAATAATTGGACCACCCTAGTGAATTATTTCGTATTAGATCCTAACTGGTGGTTTAATTCGATATATAAGCAGGTTGGAGACAATTGTGAACAGTTTTAGAAGCCGACTCATCAATCTTCTATATTCCATATAGAACTCATGAAAAAAAAGTCCCAGAAAGTCGATTTTTGAAAAAAAAAATTTTCGAGTTAACACCAAATCTCGACGTTTCATGCATTTTTAAGACATTTGGCATAAAAAAAAATTTTTTTGATTTCCGAAATTTCATGTACCCCCCCTTGGGAGATTTTTGAGAGTGAAAAAAGTCAAACTTTGACGCGTTTGCGCCACCCCTAAATCATGTCCGATTGAGCTCAAATTTTGCATAGGGTAATTTTTCCAGGCAATAAACATTTTGTATATGGTTTGTTAGCGAAATTTGATGGTCAAATTTTTCCCATACATTCATTGGCAGTCTATGACCACCGCTCTCAAGTGGTGATCTCCAGGTTTAGGTCAGGATACACCCTATCTCACACAACATAATGGGAAACGGTGAATTCCACCGACCCTGTCCACTGTGTCAGATCCACCATTCGGTGAAACACTTTATATGCCACTGCCCGCAATATCAAGGAGCTAGAAACCTGTTCGACATCCCCGGCAGCATCCGAGAAGACGCCCTCAGTGAAGCTCCTTGCCGCTTAGCGGCACTACTACACGGCTTTCCTCCGCGAGACAGGTCTGTTATCCCAAATATGACTACAGTCGACCGAGACATTACCGCCGAAAGCGGGCCCCTCAATGATGCACCGTGTCATACCCTCAACTCCGACCATGAGTACAACTACCTGTACACCACACCACGACCAGCCCGAACACTTTCAACAACCACGACCACAACTAAGAACAACGACTTCCTCTCCACCAGCCATCCCAGGAAACCCTCCGCCGGCGTAAAATGAGTCAGCATCAAAAGACAACAACCGTACCTTAGCTATCACTCTGTATCACATTAGTATTCCATTCTAAAGGGACTCCCCTCTGGAGCCTCCCCCATCTTTCAGAAGTGCCCCCACCTGACACTTTTTTCAATTTTCAATTCTGTAACTTGGGGAAACCCCTTCAGGGGTTCCTGGAGATGAACCAGCGTCTGGCTGAAAATCTCCTCAATAAAGACAACCAACCAACCATCCATCTTAATTTTTATTCATTCAAAACCAATTTTTAAATTGGTCCATAATGTTCACTTGATGTTCACTCTGCTTGGCCATGCTGTACGACCCTTACATAAAAGTCCAGGGGATTAAGGACGGGGAGCTGGGAGGTCACAAAGTCTTATCTAGAAAATCAGTCAAATTCTCCCGACACCACGCTTGCACGATAATCGCCGTGTGGACCGGTGCACCGTCCTGTTGAAAGGCGTAATGATCCTTCCCGTAGAGGTCCCGGGACCACAACCTTCTCCAGAACCTCGGTCTTATAGTCGGCGGCGTTGATTTTCACGTTTTTCGGCCCGGACGGATGTTTATTTGTGACGGGGGAATGTCGGCGCCCACAGCCGATCATTTTGGACATTGTGCGGCTGTTGCAAGACAAAGAATTTCTCATCAGAAAACACGAATCAGTGTTCACTCGGTTGTCGACAGAAGCAGACCACTCTCAATGTGTGTCACGCCATCATCGACATTGAAAAGCAACCGTTTCGTTATGAATATGTGAGTGCTGACCACGTTTTGCGTCCATTGTTGCAATGGAAACGCTCTGACCCCCGTAGGCGTAACTGTCATACAATGGAACCACTGGAAGCGGTTCCAGTTCTGATGGAGGCGGTTTTTTGGATAGCGGAAGTTAAAATATTGTGTTGTACTTTTTGACTATAGTTTTAGGATGTATTGTATAGTGAACAACCCTCCCCTTGGCTAGTTTTTGCACCTTGCTGTTGGTGGGCGGGCTTAATTTCATGCTTTATAGTGGAGTGTTGAAGACGGTAGGTTTATGGTCGGCGTTGCTGGCTCATGCCGCGATAGAATGGCGACATGGGCAGGCGATGGGGATTACTAAGCTTCTCCTCTCTGATAAACCGCTGCATGAGAGAACCAAAGATCTAGTCTAGCAGTGATAGTATCACACTTGTTACTCCTTTTATTGAGAGCCGCGTCGTAGTACGCTTACGTATAGGCACTGACGTTGGGTGTGATACTGGCGGGTTTTGCCGCAAATCACTCTTATATTATTTATTTTTACGCATATAGATTTATTTGGGTTTGCAAGGGAATTATACTATTGAAATATTTCAAAAAGTGCCAACAGTGCTCCTTCTATTTGCGTGACAAGCTTTCATTGTTGTTTTCATTGAAGTATTACTCAGAAAACAATGTTAAACATCATTTTTGTACATGGTATTGTAACTAATCTTATATGTGCTTCATTTTGATTTGGGATAAGTGTTTGAACTATGGCTCGGGATTTCCACTGTGGTGTGCTTCTATTGTGACATACCCATATGTATTTTTGTGGTGCCACATAGTGGAAACGTGAGAGCGTAGTTGAAACATTTACCCTATACAATATACAATTTAAAATTAGCTTGGAAACTAACTTCAAAGTGAAGCATTTTAGTCACTTGAAGGTGTCATCTGGGACGAACAACGATATAAGATATGTAGAAGATATGTAAAAGCCAGAAGTACTTGAAACACGTTAAATTGTAGTTTAAAAGCATGGGTTATGTAGGTAGATTAGAGATTTCAGTTATTTATTAAATAAACTTCAATTATAGAATTCAGAAAGTTAATTAACATAAGAGATAGGACGCGGGGGGTCCGCTTAGGGAGGCGACTAGTCTATGAAGTTGTATAATAAATCTTCCTATTTAGTGTATTTGTTAATTACAGACAATGTCAATAGCGAAAGTCATATCTTCAACCAGGCGCTTACGAACAAGTGAAATTTTAGGAAAGATGTGGTAAATATGTTAATAGGTTTGAAATAAGAATTAGGATTGTTGTGCTTTAGAAAGACATTGCGTTGCGAAAATTGACAAGTCATACATCTTACATAGTAGTAGTAGCAGTGTCGCATAATCTTATCACAATTGCTGCAAATAGTGCTTGAGGGGCCAGCAGGGCTGAATACGGATCAAAACTAACATAACTACTAACACTAAAATGATCCCGGAACTAACACTTATCCATTGCACTTTTAGTTATTTATTAGTTTTATTTTTCTACTAAGTCATCTATGCTTCTTTCTATTGTTTGGATCAAGTACAACTAATACTAATCTACCTTTATGTATGTTTTACTCCCTTTTAACCCATTATCTTTATGAATGGCGAATCATATGACGTGAGACACGTACAAGCTGGAACTCAAAGAATTACTTCGAACAGGATGTCAAACAAATTCAGGACCAATCCAAATGAGACCAGAAACCAACAAAGCATCGGGGAGTTATATATTCTGGGAGAGGTATTTGATAAATAATCAAAAAGTGGTAAGTCAGTGGTAAAGTGGTAAAATCAGAGCCAAGGATCATGAGAGGTAATTGTCAATAATTCATTAATTAGTAGAAATCTCGATAACTTTTTCAAGGGAGCGTATCGGCTTTTGTAGGCGGTGCGTTTGGTCGTCGATTTGGCGTAACTGGTGGCTCGCCCGCGCGTGCTGGCACTATCATCAGATAGGGGAAATTTTCCTCTACCTGCTGGTGGTGTTGATAAGCGTGTGCGAGATGCCGGTTGCGCCGGATCGACGATCGGATGCATTGTTTGCAGGAGCTGGTGCTTCCCTTTGAAAAAGTAATCGAGAAATAACCATATTATCATGTAATTGATATTACTATTTTTATATATCAATGAAATTAGTCATGACAGAGTAACAGATGGGGAAGGACAATAGACACAAGTTGACACAATAAACAAGACAAGTGGGGGTTAATACACAAGACAAAATGACAAAATAAGTGACGACAGAAGACAAGACTGGGACGAAAATCAACCTTTAAAAAAAAACAAGAATGCGCAATTATATTATCAAAACTATTTGGATCAGCACAAAAACAACAGTGACCAAACGGGCACCATAGCCTAGGAACGTCTGTGTGTTGATTTAAAATAGAGGCTCATAGAAGCAAAATTTATCAATAAAAGGGGTCCAGTGTAGAGTTTTAGCAAGTTGCTGTCACTGGATCACTACAAAAAAAAAGGATGTATTGTATAGTGAACAAGAATCCTCGGGGGGTCCAGAATCCCAAAAACTGTCTACGTAGACAATGAACAGCGCCTTAGACATTCAAAATTACTAACGTGAAAATGGCTTCTGTAATTCTTAATCTCAGGATTTAGATCATTTGAGATGTGGCTGCTGCGCCGATGGGATGTGAACCCGTGACGTTCGCTGTAAGAAGACAGTATACATTTTAACTCGTTCTCATAATCAAATATTTATTCACGGCAAATGAATCTGACTCATATTTGAGTCCCGTGAACTCAAATTCGCAAAAACGTACACTCAATCTATGAGTAACGTACGCTTTTGCGAATTTGAGTGTACGGGACTCAAACATGCGTCAGATTCATTTGCCGTGCTTACATACGGTTGCAAAGTTGAACTGAGGATTGCGATTTTCAACACCGTATTTCGAAGATGGTTGCCCGAGGGATATTGGGGGAGTGTAGGGAGAGCCAAGGAAAAATAATCTCGAATCAAATGCAGTCAAAACACTAATTTTTCATTGTCAGCCAACCACCACCGGGGAGCTAGAGCACCCACCAGGGAGGGTATAATGAAACTGCAATTAAATTTGTTTTACGAGATCAAAAGCACATCAAAATGGGGATCCGTTTCCGCTCAGGTTTCGTTATCTTCTCCGTACACCCACTTGCCTACGCTACCCATAATCGCATATCAGTCCCATCTTTGCTTGATGTCCTATCCATATGGGACTGATATGCGATTATGGGCAGTTCGTCCTTTTGCCAAACTGACAACGAAATTGACAACGTCGACTTGTGGTGGTTGTACATTGTCTCCATATGTAGGTGCGGGTTCATGGAGACTTTTAACGTCTTTGTGGTTGTTACATATGCTTTGACGTGTGGTGTGGTTTTCTTTTATTCAAAGAAGAATGATTATATCTAGGTACCATGATTGGAAGATGTATTAGATATAGCAAATTTCCAGTCGTTGCTTTAACTCGACTTACATTTATATTACTTATATTACAACTTTACTCAACAATCTTCCGTGTGTTTTTTTTTTTAATTTACAGAAAGATGAAATGGAGGTAGAACACTTAGCAACATTAGAGAGATTGCGACAAACTCAGCGGCAAGATTACTTGAAGGTAAAATAATATTTGCATAATCTATTGTCTTTGACTAAATGTTTGTTGTTCCTCATCCCACCAGGGTTCCGTATCCGGTTCGGTACAGGCCACCGATCGGCTAATGAAGGAGCTACGAGACATCTATCGTTCCGATTCTTTCAAAAGCAACATGTACTCGATAGAGTTGGTCAACGATTCGATCTACGAGTGGAACATCAGACTGATGTCCGTCGATCCGGACAGTCCGCTGCACAACGATCTGGTGCTGCTGAAGGAGAAGGAAGGCAAAGATAGCATTCTGCTCAACATTATGTTCAAGGAAACGTACCCATTCGAGCCGCCGTTTGTACGCGTCGTGCATCCAATCATTTCCGGTAATGCGATCGACCAATAATTTTTAAGGACGGAGCTCCGCGGGGATTTATCAATTAACATTTTACGTTAACTTTCAGGTGGTTACGTTCTGGTGGGTGGTGCAATCTGTATGGAATTGCTCACGAAACAAGGCTGGAGTTCTGCGTACACCGTGGAAGCCGTTATAATGCAGATAGCGGCAACGCTAGTCAAGGGCAAAGCGCGAATACAGTTTGGTGCGACGAAGGTAAGCTGGAAAGGGGGAAAAGCTTTCATTTCGTTTTGTCAAGTAAATGCCAGACCAAATGTGTTTCAATAGTATACTGGTAATTCTGTTCCAATTTTTTTTCACTCATAGATCTAGAGCACTTGAAAGATTTCTAATTTTGGGTGACTGCTAGCTTTTGTCTCGACCTTGGCCTAGGACAAATTTCTGGTGACATGCTTGATTTCTTTGTTGAGGTATCCCCGCCCTGAGCCCCTTAATCTGAGCCTCTACTGCGATTTCCTGCTAGATTGCAGTGCTTGCTTGTAGATTTCATTCCCGCCCGTCGTAGCGTGCGGCTTAGCCACCTACACTTACGTTCTCGGATTTCTATCGATGTCGGCTTCGGACGATGGCGTTAAGCATTCAGTTTTGAAGCCACCAACTTCGATTTATATTTGCTGAGCAGGTATCGGTTGATAATAGTGACCAGTGATCCGGATCGGGAAAACTCCGTGAATTTCCATGACAAAACGAAAAAAATATACATCGTCCTCTCTTTAAATAAAATTAAGATTTTGGACCTTAAAAAATGTTATGATCCTTGGACTGGACTAGATTTTCAGGATACAGTCACTTTGAAGAACTAGTAAGAGAATTTTAGAATTTTTGCTAAAGCCTTATTGAACAGATTTTATAATGAGTTCTAGAGATAACACCAGGCATAAAAACTCAAATCATAACTTTTTTTGTCAACAGAATTCCGTTAAATGATGCATGAAAATGAAGCTTTTGTAGGTTTTATGATTAGCTACAACTTTTGTGAGAAACTCAAATCTGTATCTCTTATGCATGACGAACTAGAGCGGGCAGAACTTGTTATTGTTGTAATTTACAGTCACTGAAAAACAATGGTGGACTATGTTCGCTCTGGTTCATCGTGCATCATTTCACGAAATTCTATTGATGAAAAAAAAATTAAAGGCAAATGAAAGTAAATGATTTCCCATGCTGAGATACCACCATCCTAGGGAGTTTTGGGATGAACTCGAAGAGTGTTTTGACTTGATCTTCAAGTCAATTTTGTGGGTTCAGAGCAAATTGTTTAAGTAGTTCTGTGGAAAATTCATTGGCGTTTGTGAAGAAGATTCCAGGATTCGTGAAAAATACAAAGGTTTTGAGGGTACAATTCCTGACAAAATGAACCACATTGGATTTCCGGCATGGATCACTGAATGGGTCTATTCATACCTGTCTAATCGCAATGCTTTCGTGATGGTGAATTCCGTGCGCTCCAGGACTTTCAACATACCATCTGGCGTACCCCAAGGCAGTGTTCTGGGTCCTCTTATTTTTAAATCATTTATGTTAATGACCTGTGTGACATGCTCTCATCATCCAAACTTTCTTTTTCCAATGATCTAAAAATTTTCCGTGTCATTGTTTCTCCCACTGACTGTGTCGCGCAGTGATGTCAAAAAATCGCTTCTAGCGATCAATGAATATACGCACACACCTGCTACAAGATTTTTTGGCATCATCATAAGCTAACGATGAACTCTGACTCTTAACACTAATACGCAGAGAGCATTTCGAACAGTGAGTTACCAAGATCTCAAGAGAGCAAGACGATAACAACATCATTGCTGTGTGCACTCACGATACATTACTTATACTACGCAAGGCTTGTTGTGAGTGCACGCTACAAACTAAAGATCTCAATGCGTACAGCCGAGTACAAGAAGTTGTTCGGATTATTTATGTACAACTGATGAACAACCGTGATCAGATCATGATCATTGCCATAATAATCGAGATTTTTTTTTTGCTTTTTTCAGTCTGTGAATTAGGAAAGACGCATGTATTTGCGTTGACAGCATTAAGTTTTGCACCATCGGGGTTAATTTTTTCTTGAGTAGATTTTCTTGATAATTTTTCAGATTGCAGTGAGATGTAAACCATACTTTTGCAATGTCCACGAGCAACATCCTTTCACCACGCATTTACTCGACAATTAAAATTCGGAAATTTTAAAATATATTTATATTCTCCCTACCGATGGTCAGCACCTATCTGCTGATGCTTGCTTATAGCGAATTTGTTTATTATACCGTTCCAACCTGGATTGGGTATCAAGTTGGCCGGCGCCGGTGGTGTAGTGGTAAGCGTGACTGCTTTCTAACACCCCAATGGGCCTGGGTTCAATCCCAGCCGAGGTCGGTGGGATTTTTCTGAGGCATAAAAATCTCTGGTCACGTCTTCCTTCGGAAGGGAAGTAAAGCCGTTGGTCCCGGCCCATGTGTGTTTGAATGGGTGCGATATCCTACGCAGGTGTGGAAGCTGCCTTCCTTGCACATTCGATTGCCGTCAATGGATGGCAATCGATGTCCGTCGGTGATTGGCACTAGATTGCGGAACAGAGACCGACGTTAAATAAAGGAATGAAGAAGAAGAAGAAGAAGGGTATCAAGTAAGGGTCGGCTTGTTTTCTAGCAAACGTCAGTTTGAGCGTTTGTTTTTATAACCTGGCACGGGTCGACTTTCGCGCTGACAAAAAGTTTGGGGTTGCACTGGGTTGGAACTGGTACCAACCCGATGTCAATCATACAAGGTCAACAGGCAACTTGCTAGTGTTAGAAGCAAAAATGTTGTAAACATTGCTGAGCAAGCGAATGCTGACGTCACGGCAGCACAACATTCCATACTGCGATTAGCAGACGTGTCGTCACAGAAAACAGCTGTTTCGTGTAAAAAGATAAACATTGCGATGAAATACGACCACCACTAGACATTTTCAAATTTCACTAATACCAATAAGCCGGTTGGGCCAGACCTTGTATAATTGACATCGGTACCAACCCACTCGGGGGCAACTTGACAGCTCCGGTATATTGCCAGTGTACCCCAAGGGGGGGAAGTGGCTGTCAAATACGAACAATCGTCGCCTACCTCGCATAACTGGTTCCAAACGTAAACAAGCCATAATAAACCTACAGCGTTTGTTTACGTTTGGAACCTGTTTCATACAAGATGATCAGTAGGCTGATTTGACAGCACTTGCCCCCCCCCCCCCAGGTGTACCCCGACAATTTGGTGCTGGTGGTTCTGTCAAACTTACAAATTTCAGAAGTGTTATCTAAAAGGGCGAATGCGGAAATGATGTACAGTAAACAAAATTGAAGTTTAAAATTCATCTTATTGTCGCGCGCTCACCAAACCGCACACGCGATTGGCGTTGACGGCACTGTCGAAAAATTTGCTCTTCCAGCAAATGTAGACAGTTTCCTATGGGAATTTTCGGTGGAGTGAAAGGATAGTACAAAGTCCGCCATGTTTCACGCACAGTCTGACGTTTGCTTATGGATTTTCTCATAGGAGTAAAGAGCTACAGAGTCGCCGTCAACGCCAATGTTAGCGACATAGGAACTCCGAAAAACACCGAAAGTATCCTTGTTCAATTCTCATTTGTTCCCATTAATTCGATGACAATCATCTATTTTCTTTTACAAATCATATGTTTGAGCTTTTGGTTCTGTACTGCTCATATACGGTACTAATTATACGCAGCTTGTACTGCAAAATGTACAATTTGAGTTACTAACATAAAAGAGTACAAAGTTAGTACAATGATAGTACAACGGTGTACTTTGTACGTATGTCGAAGGCCTCTAATGAATTTAAGCTAAATATGTGATATATTGTTCAATTTGTCTAAATTTTAAATATCTTGCTACAACGGATCTGCGACCATTACTTTGTGCAAAAATCATCAGAGCTCAATTTCAGCTAACATTCTAGAAAATTCTGATTAAAAATCACTTCACTTATATGATCACTACATAGTCAGCGTTCTTCATGGTATTTGTATTGTCATTGTCACTATGCCCATAACTGTGTAACTAAATAATAGAGCAAACAAATTTATGGACTCATCTGCTTATTGAGGCTTCAAGTTTGGTGAGGAATAACGTTAATGATACGGACGGATGTAACAAAAGATAATCACTTTAGTTGATTCATTTCAGAAGCTCAATATAATTTGTTTATGAGACCCTTATTTGATTTATCAAGCTATTGCGACGATTGTTTACTGCACCCTGCTTACATGCTCATTAGGATTCTATTTTCAAGCCGTTCGTAATATCTTCCAACGTTGAAATATTTGTGGTGATTGTTGAGTATTTTCAATTTAATTTCCGAAGTCTTGGATGTCAGAAGAATACACAAGAACACAAGAACACAAGAATAGAGAAACACGGGAAAGTAAACTTTTGTATATTCATATGGCAAGCCTTTATCGCACCACTATAATTTAAAAAAAAGAAATCTGTAGGCTGATTATATTCAAGAGGAAAATAAAATGGAAGACAGCAAAGTATTTTTCTTGCCGTTTGGTTATATAAGAAAATGAACCCCCATCTAGACCCCTATCAATCGGTTTCAATTTGTTTGGATTATTTCATTTCACCAATAATAAATTCGCTCTTATCATATAGCATTCTTGCTTGTTGTTTGACATCCACACATGGAGAAACAAAAAGTTGGATTTCCATAGAGAAATGCCATAGCGGCGGTGAAGGACAATCCCTTTGTTTATGTTGTGTGGCGACATCTACTATTTGCAAGTGGGTACGTGAAACTAAGGTTATCTGTCACCTTGCCGGGGACTTGGTACCAACCTGGGAATAAACAAATTCGCTATTGCTCTGTAATCCCAAACTGCCAAAGTATGCTACTCACAGAGAGACACTCACTCTCGTCTCGTGAAATAAGCACATGTTGCGATTTGTGGATATAATGAGCGAAATGGGTAACGCACTTCTCTGAGCTTGACTCAGTCTAACAATGTATTTGTTATCTGTGAGTTGCCTACGCAATAACGCATTTTCAAGGTGGAAGAGGACTAATCGTTGATCGTAGTTTGTATAGATCACGATCTGTACAGTTTACGAAAAAATGGAAATCGGATCATGCTCGCTTGATTTCCATCACTGGTGTCGCGGTGCAAGAAGATATACATCGTGTGATAGTCTGGTGCGGTG